TCCCTCCCTCCCTCCCTCCCTCCCTCCCTCCTCCTCCTCCTCCTCCTCCTCCTCCTCCTCCTCCTCCTCCTCCTCCTCCTCCTCCTCCTCCGCTTTCTCCTCCTCCTCCTCCCCCTCCGTCGCGGCGACCAGCATCACTTCCCAGCCGCCCCCCTCCCCGCCCACGCCCGCCGCGCGGATGGGGGCCCCCGAGGCCGCCAGGTGGGCGAGAGCGGAAGCCGGAAGAAAGCGAGGTCGATTGTGCGGACACGTGCGCGCCAGCTTCCCGCGCCAGGCCGCGCGTGGGCGTCCTCGTCTCCGATGCTCCCGTGCCGAGCTGGCGGCCCGCGCGAGCCGCGGCGTCACGTCGCTGCGCCTTATCGCGCAAGACCCGTTTGAGTTTTTGGCGCCCACGTTTGGCGAGGTGTGTGTGTGTGCGTGTGCGTGTGCGTGTGCGTGTGCGTGTGCGTGTGCGTGTGCGTGTGCGTGTGCGTGTGCGTGTGCGTGTGCGTGTGCGTGTGCGTGTGCGTGTGCGTGTGCGTGTGCGTGTGCGTGTGCGTGTGCGTGTGCGTGTGCGTGTGCGTGTGCGTGTGCGTGTGCGTGTGCGTGTGCGTGTGCGTGTGCGTGTGCGTGTGTGTGTGTGTGTGTGTGCGTGCGTGCGTGCGTGTGCGTGCGTGTGTGTGTGTGTGTGTGTCGAGCGCTCAGCCCTCCTGCGGCCGGGCACGCCGCTCTTCCGCATGTGTATCCGGTGCGTGGTCTCCAGCTCTTCCGCGTGTGATTCCAGCCAGATGTGTCTCCGGCTGCCTGGCACGCTTTCTCCTACAGTCAACGCGCACAGTAAGGGCAAACGACTTTTTCAAGGGTACCCTCCCTTGGGTCCTTGCCTGCCTCAGCCTCTGCGGCCCGTCCCTGGCAATTTTCGCAGGTCCTTACCCCGCGTCCTTAGTACACGTTTTCACTGTAATGTTTGGTGGTTGATTCCCACCTGGGCGGGGGCAAGCCTTTGAGGCCGGCCAGGTTCACTCCCCCGGCCGCGCCCTCATCAACTTGGACAGCGGCGGAGTGAAGGCCATCAAGTTCGAGAACATTGTGCTGGTGAGGAAGGTGCTCCGCGGCCCCACCCGCCCCCTTGAAACTTCTGTTGGACAGCGCGTCGCTCTGCTGGCTCTGGCCCACCACGCTGCGGCGCGACACGCTATATACGCGTTCCCGCTCCCGAGCGTCAGTGTCCCGAGCATCTCCCCGCCTCCCGCCCCGCGGAGCGACGCGCTGACCGCTCGCACGGCACGGCGTGTCGCGGGGGGCGGCCGCCGCGGCACGCTAAGAAAGAAGGATCCTGACCGTACACCCTAGGCGATACTTAAGAAAGCTTGCGTTTTCGGCCAGAGTCTCGATTGTTCTTAATGTTTCAATGTAAGTCCTTTGAATACAAGTTCTGGGCTTTTCTTCAAAATCTGAGACTCTGAATTTCTTAACCCATGATTTCTCAAGCATTTCGCAGGGTGTACACGCCGCCACCCAGCCCTGGTCGGGGCCCACCTCCAGGCCTCCGATCTCCGACGGCATGACTTGTGCAGTCCCGGCGGTTGTCCCCCCGATGTCGGCCCTCTGCGGCTCGCCTCTTGGGCCACAGGGCCCCCAAGAGGTCGGGGGCGGAAAAGAGGGGGGTGATGACTAGGGGGGGGGGATATCATGGCGGGGGCCATAATATCTCCCCAGACTTCATGGCGCCGCTTCTTACTTCATCACGTCCCCGGCCCCCCCGCTGGGCCGCGCACGTGCCGTCGGTCATGATTTGCACCCCCCCCCCTCTTGGACACCCCCCCTCTCCTGGCCGCTCCCGAAAAAGGGGGCCCGGGAGGGAGCCATGCACTCCCCGTGGGGCGCGGCGGTCGGGATCTCCCGGGGGGCCGCGGCCAGAGAAGTCAGAGCGTGGAGGGCGGGCGGGCCCCGGGGCCCTGGATCTCGGTGTCCGTTGAGGCCACCAATCCCCCTCCCCCTCCCCACCCTCGCAGGCCTAGAGGTTGACACCAACACCAATATCGGCGACGTCTCTCCACCGAGGGAAGAAGGTCCCGATCTCGGTGATGGTGGCAATATTCTGGGATCCAAGGTGGCCGAAATATTACCACCAACACCGAAATCTACGATCATCTTTCCCCTGTGGAGGCAACCCCCTGTGTTGGTGTTGTTGCCCATTTCCAGGCCTCTAACATCCCCTTCGAGACCGCCACCAGACTACCACCCCAGTAAGGGGATGCACCTCTCGAAACCCGGAGGGAAGGACCTATTTCCCCATCTAGGGCTGCGTAGGACGATCCCTGGAGAGGAAGCACGTCGCCGAATCATTCCCAGACGTCTACAACATGTGCCAAACCTTTAAAAAAACATGTTTAAACCACATGGTAAATTCAATGATAGGACTGTTCGGGTGTCCTCTGTCGTGGCATCCACAAATCATCGAGGGGGGGGGGTGGGGGGGAATCGGCCAGCGGGGCCCAGGCCACGCCGCCGGGGCCGGGGACCGGCCACGAGCGATGTCCTCTCCAGCAGGTGGCCGGCGGGCCTGCCCCGGCCGCCGCCCCGCAGGCGGCGGCGGCGGCGGCGGCGCCGGCGCCAGTGGGGCCAGTGCCAGCGAAGGCAGCCGGGCATGGATCGGGAGGGGAAAAAACACACAGACACAATGAATCGTCGATTCCCCAGAAAAAATATAGGAAAATACGGGAAGTGGGGGGGGGGGGAAGGCAGAAGCCCAGAGAATGTGGGGAAGCATGGGGAATAGTTTTATGTGTGTGTGTGTTTATTTGTGTCCTGGGGCCCCTTCACTGGAGAGCACACTTTTTTGATTCGCGGGTCGAGAGCGCGCCTCTTCCGGTCGAAGCTGAGCGGGCCGCGCGAAGCTTGAATCAAACATTGAGGGGGAGGAAAGGGGGAGGGCGCAGCCTCAGAGCGAGGCCGGGAGGAGGCGGAGCCTCGGGATCAGGCGGTGCCGAAGTCGACGTACTTGCAAAGGCGCGCCTTTTTCCAGGAACCCGGTGGCGAAGTACCGGCAGAAGCGGCATGGAGAGAGCACGCCCATCCTTAAGTCGGGCACGTCCCTCGAAAATTCAAAGATAGTAAAAAGATAGTCCGGGGACGCTTTTTTGATTATTTTCATGACCATTTGAGGATTTGTTTTCCTATTTTTTATTTTTCGTTCAAAATCCCTCTGTCGGGGGACTGGCCCGACCTAAGCCCATCCATCAAAGAAGAAAACACAAACACACAAACCAAAACTTGTGGCGCTCCGCGCGGATTCCTTGGATCCGCGCCGGGCCCTTCTGGCGGCGCCTCCGGCGCCGCCCGTGGCGTGCTCCGCGCGCCAGGGACAGGGGGTGCGCGGATCCAAGAAATCCGTGCGGAGCGCCAGAAATTCATGTTCATGTTGTTTTTCTTAGTTCTTCTAGGTGGGGCCAGCTCTGGCGAAGGCAGCCGGGGCATGGAGAGGACACGCCCATCCAAGCAGGGCTCGTTTCGATTCCTCCGACCTCCGATGCGATTCGGTTTCGATGGCTCCCGATTCCGAGCCAGTGCGGCTGAGGATTCCGATTCGGCTTGCGATTTCTCAACGAGGCCCTGCTACTCTGCCGACTTCCGCCGATGCGACTTCTCCCGACTCGGCTGCCGATCTCCTCCGATCCGATTCATTTCGATCGCCGATCCCATTTATCGATTCGATTCCAGGCTCTCCTGCCCAGACAAGTTGACTCAGGAAATCTGCAGCGGTTCACTCGACATTGGTGTCCGAGTGTACCGGTGTAGTCCCCAGTCGGTTCCACGAATCGACGCGCGTTTCGCCGGCGAAAGCAGTCGAAAAACAACAAAACAACACAAATATGATTTTTCAGCGCAACAGTACATTGTATAGTGTAATGTTGGTTTATGGTTTGCGGCTGAATCGGACCCTTGGGTAGGTAAACCACCACTGGACGTCATAGACCGCGGGCGGAGGCGTTGCAGTTTTCGGTGGGTACTCTGTCTCCCCTCTCCTCCCTTTCCACTCTCCCCCTCCTGTTCCCCCTCCTCTTCTGCACGAGCTTGCAGGACAACCCCGTCATATGCGCGGATGCTTCGCGAGTTACCCGAGCCTGGGGCTATTGCAAGTTTTTGTTTTCACTGCCCTGCGGTCGACTTGGTTCGGGTTGCGCATTCGGGATAGCGCTCTGGAGGAGCAGCGAATTTCTTCGTCTATTCTGCCTGAACGTCAACGATCCCCCTCCCCCCAACAAAAAAACAGCGCTTCGCGCGAATTTCTTGGATCGGCGCCGGGCCCGCCTGGAGGCGCCTCTGGCGCCGCCCCAGGCGCGCTCCGCGTGCCAGAGAGGAGGGCCCAGCGCCGATCCAAGACTTCCGCGCGAACCTCCGAGAAGTCATATACTATGCAGTCGTTTTGTTCCTCTAGGCAGGGCTTCAGTTCGACAAGGCATAACAGCACCGACTCAAGACATCCGCGCGGACCTCCGAGAAACCAGATTTATGCAAGTTTGGCAGCTCGCCCGCACCCACAGCGACCCACTTGCGACCCGGCCCGCGACCCACCCGCGACCCACCCTGCGGCACACCCACCCCACATTGCTTTGACGAAAAAATCGGCGCCTGCGGCGGGCCCGCTGCATAATCTGTGCACGCTGGGCGCCTGCGGTGGGTTTCTCCAGAGCCTCGCAGACTGCCGACGTCTTCGCCGCCCCCGTCAGTCCTCACTCTTATCCGCAACTGCGGGGTGCTACGTACACTTTCTTCGGGCCGAACAAAAGGGAGGGGATAGGGAAAGGGAGGGGGTACGAAATCTGCTGCATGCAGCTGGTTTCGGCCCCGCCGCCGGGCCCATTCCTCGATGCATGGGCGCCTCCCGGCGCTGGGAGGCGCTGGGAAAATCAGCTACGTGAGCTGATTCTCTACCCTGCCCTTTGCTATTCCCCCCTTTCGTTCCCCCCGACTCTGATCCGCCACTGCGGGGCGATGCGTGCAGTTGTGGTTCCTCCAGGCAGGGCCCCAGTTCGACAAGGCCTACGAGATCGGCACGAAGGCCCTGTGGCCAAGGGCGCAAACAACGCCCCATACCCTGGTCTACGTGGCGCTGTGCGCTGAACCTCCTGTGGGCTGACAGGGTAAACCCTGCAGTTCGCGCGTGCCGCGCGGCCTGGCGGCTCTCTGGCCTCTGGGAGCTCCCGGGAGGTTTACATACCACGCACTTGCATCTGCATTCTCCTCCTCCTCCTCCTCCTCCTCCTCCTCCTCCTCCTCCCTCTCCCTCCTCCTCCCTCCGGCGCGCCGCCGAGCCTTGGCGATGGCGCTCTCGGTGGCGTCGACGCGGGGAGGTAGGGGCGTTTCTGCATCCCTCGGGGGCGGAAAAGAAGGGGGTGATGACTAGGGGGGGGGGGATATCATGGCGGGGGCCATGAAATCTCCCCAGATTTCATGGCGCCTCTTCTCATCTCATTGCCTCCCTGGACCCCCCGCTGGGCCGCGCACGTGCCGCCGGTCATGATTTGCACACCCCCTCTTGGACCTCCCCCCCGTTTGGCCGCTCCCGAGCATCCCTCAATGTGGAGCCGAGCAGCGCCACGAGCGCGCGGCCCGCGCAGGCCTGCGCGGACTGCTCGGGCCAACGCCGGAGCCCTCTCTCCATAGGCATGGCGGCGCGTGCGGCGCCGCCCCTCAGGTCGGGCATGTCCCCCTTCAGGCGGCTGTTCGACGAAAAACAAGTGGCACGCGTGCCCTGGCTCTTGCACAAAGGTGTCCGAGGCTCAGGGGGGCTGCCCTGGGAAGCCTGGGCGGGGGGGGGCAGAGGGGGGGGGGCAGGGGGACAAACGACACGACACGACACGACACGAAAATAAAAGTGGCCCAGGGGGGCTACCCTGGGAAGCGTGGACAGGGGGGGGGGGACGAACGACACGACGAACGACGAAAACAAGTGGCACGCGTGCCCTGGCTCTTGCACAAAGGTGTCCGAGGCTCAGGGGGGCTGCCCTGGGAAGCCTGGGCGGGGGGGGCAGGGGGGGGGCAGGGGGACGAACGACACGACACGACACGAAAATAAAGATGTCCGAGGCCCAGGGGGGGGGGAGCCCTGGGGAGCCTGGACGGGGGGGGGGGCAGGGGGGGGGGCAGGGGGACGAACGACACGACACGACACGAAAATAAAGTGTCCGAGGCCCAGGGGGGCTGCCCTGGGGAGCCTGGACGGGGGGGGGCAGGGGGGGGGGCAGGGGGACGAACGACACGACACGACACGACACGAAAATAAAGATGTCCGAGCTCTAGAGCACAGCTGTGCAAGAGAATAAAGGGTTCCGTGGCCCAGGGGGGCTACCCTGGGAAGCGTGGACAGGGGGGGGGCGAGGGGGACGAACGACACGACGAACGACGAAAATAAAGGGTGCCGTGGCCCAGGGGGGCTACCCTGGGAAGCGTGGGCAGGGGGGGGGCGCGAGGGGTACCCTGGGAAGCGTGGACAGGGGGGGGGGTGCGAGGGGGACGGGGGGGGGGCGAGGGGGACGAACGACACGACGAACGACGAAAACAACAAGGGGCACGCGTGCCAAGGATCATACAATGACGATGTGGGTCCATGGGAAATGGAGAAAACCAGGGATCGCGAGGGAGGCAGTCCTTGGCAGGCGCCGGGAAGCGTGCCGCAATTGCTGCGACACGTTGGCAAGGGACAGATTCGAAGACGGGAAGGGGCGGCTAGAAGCATGTCAGTTTGGGTATGGAGGAAGGTCGCTTGTCCTCTGTCTCGTCCTCCTTCTCCCCCTCCTCACCTCCACTTTCTCCTGTCCCGCCTCTCTTCCTCCTCCTGGTTCTCGACCTCCTCCTTGTCCTCCCCCTCTCTCCACCTTCTGGGGCGGTGCGGCGCGTGGCGGCGGAGTCGCCCTCGCCGTCGGCATGCGGCCGGGCACGCTGCGTCCTCGTCCTCCTCCTTCTCGTCCTCCTCCTCCCCCTCCACCTCCGCCTCCTCCCCCTCCCCCTCCGCTTCCTCCTCCGCCTCACCGTCCTCGCCTCCGACCCGAGGCTGGCCCAGGCCACTCATCCTCGCCTCGGGCCCGAGGCTCGCTCACCGAGCGGCGGGCGGCGGCGAGCTTCCCGGCCGCCTGGCCTGTCCGCCGGGGTCGCCTCGGAAGGGTCCCAGAGGCCCAAGACGGTCCAAGAGGCTCCAAAGAGGCCTCCAAGACAGCCCAAGAGGCCTTCAAGAGGTCGTCTAGGAGGGCCCGAAGAGGCCACAATCATTGATTTTCTCTGGGTTTGGGAAGGATTTGGTCATTTGCGCCTTTTCGGCTTTCCGACGGTCCAAGACGGCCCAAGAGGCCCCCAAGATCGCCCCAGAATTGCCCAAGAGGCCCCCAAGATGGCCCCATGACGGCCCAGGAGGCCTCCAAGACGGTCCCAAGAGGGCCTCAACACGGGCCAAGAGGCCTCCAAGATGGCTAAGATTGCCTCCAAAACGGCCAAGATGGCCTCCAAGTACCTCCAAGATGGCTTCCAAGACGGCCAACATGGCACCAAAATGCCTCCAAGACGGCCCAAAATGCACCCAAGACGGCCCTGGATGGGCCCAAACGGCTCCCACGAGGCGTCCAAGATGGCCCAACAGGCCTCCAAGAGGTCCTCCATGAAGGCCCGAAAGGGCAATATTTATGTATTTTCTTTAAGTTTTTGAAGGATTCGTGCATTCGCGCCTTTTCGGCTTTCCGACGGTCCAAGACGGCCCAAGAGGTCCCCAAGGTCGCCCCAAGATCGTCAAGAGGCCTCTAAGATGGCCCCATGACGGCCCAAGAAGCCCCCAAGACGGCCCCAAGAGGGCCCCAAGACGGCCCAAGAGGCCTCCAAAACGGCCAAGATGGCCCAAGATGGCCCTCAAGATGCCTCCACGATGGCTAAGATGGCGTTCAAGACGGCTCAGATAGCCCCAGGACGCCCCCAAGACGGGCCAAGATGGCCTCAAGATGGCTTAAGACGGCCCAAAAGGCTCGCAGGATTCTTCCAAAACGGCCCGAGAGCCCTCCAAAACGTCCTCTGGGAAAGCCCGAAAGGGGCAAAATTAATGATTTTCCGTTGTGCTTCAAGGACTTGGGCATGTTGTTCTTTTCAGCTCTCAAGATAGCCCAAAACGGCCCAAGAAGCTGGCATCGGCCTCCGGCGGCCGTTCGGGACGACACGGGCACTCTCGGAACGCCCTCGGCGAGGCTCAGCCGCTGGAAACCATGCCGGCTGAGAAAGCCGCCAAGAACCAAGAAAATCTTCCGGTAACCTCGATCCTCAATCCCCCGGCTCGCCGCCACGCCAGTCGGGCGCGGCCACGCGGCGCGGCCTGACGGGGCGCGTGGCCTGGTCGCACTGCACCGCGCGCCGGTCGGCGATCGTCGTTGGCCAGAGCATCAAGATGAGTTAAGATTTCAACTTCCGCTCAAAAACGAAGCTGGACCAATCAGAACAGCCAGCCCAACAATATCATGCAGACCAACCAAACCAACCAGAGCAGCCAGAGCAGACTAGAGCAGGCAGACCAACCAGACCAGCCAGACCAAGAAGACCAGCCAGACCTACCGGACTAGCCAGACCAACAAGACCAGGCAGACCAGACCAACTAGACAAAACCAGCCAGACCAGCCAGACCAACCAGACTAGCCAGACCGACAAGATCAGCCAGACTGACAAGTCCAGCCACAACTCATGGGACCACACGTGCCAGCCAGACCAACCAGACCAGTCAGACCAGACCAGCCAGACCAACCGGACTAGCCAGACCAACCAGACCAGCCAGACCAGACAAACCAGACAAACCAGCCAGACCAACCAGACAAACCAGACCGCCAGACAAGACCAGCCAGGCCAACCGGACAAGCCGGCGACGTTTTTCTCAGCTCAACCTGCGCTTCTTGGGATCAGGAGCGTCGTCGGCAGGGCCCTGTTCCTGGGCCCACGCCGCGGGCAGCGCCACGGCGTGGTACCACTGCTTGTGAGCCGCCGCCATGTCCGCAGAAAAACCTGGCGGATAGCGCTTTCGGCACGTGTGCCCCCAGACATAAGTCCGGGCCTCGCAGACGCCGTACTCCGCGTCGTCGAACTCCAGCTCCGAGAGGCCAGTCAGAGACAGCACGCGGGAGTGGAGCGGCATGGAACTCTGACGGCGCCGCAGGAGCCACAGCAGCTTGTGGTTCGGGGAATTGATGGGCTTGGTCGTCTTCACCACCGTGCTGCCCGCCGACTCGTCCACGGCGCTGCCCGTAGAGCATGATAGGATGAGGTCGTGGGCTTCCGGCGCTAGCTTCTGGAGAAACAATGACGTGCCGTCCCCCGGCAGCTCCATGTACGGCACGGTCGAAGCGTGGTGCCCCTCGTACCTGTCCCCGTGGCGGGCGCGCAGGTACCGCTTGAGCATGACCTGGCCTTGGTAAGGGACCCAATCGCAATCCGTCTGCAAGAGCGACTTGGTACACTCAATCGTGAGCAGGGCAGAATTGTCCAATATGTGCCGGTGCTCCTGCAGGCTCACCGCAATCGCCCTCATGCGGACGGCGATGCGGTGAGGACGGGTGCCCGCGCCCTCTGGCAGGAGGGCTGCGTCGTCGTAGCCCGACAGCGCCGGGGCGTGGTAGCCCATCCTCGGCTGTCGGCCGTATAGATCAACGCATATGTTTGCAGCCTCGTGCCATTTCTGAACGTCATATGCGCTGATGTCTGGCAGTGTGGGGGAAGACCCGTCGGTTTTCAATCGCTCCCGGTGCGTCAGCAGATGCTTGCGTAATTTGTCGGTATCGCGAAGAATGGCTGCTTTCCGATACACCAGCTCTAAAACGACGTAGAACGACATCACGTAGTGGCTTTCATTGCAATACAAACAACAAAATATACAAAAATGGGCAACCGCGGTAAGAGGCGCACTCGGGTGGGCAAGCAATATCTTCGTTTTGGTCGCTGAGGTGATATCACAAGAAGACTTAAAGTTGTTCAATTTGCGCACAAGTGGGTCGTGATTGACTCCTGGAGCGATCTGATCCGCAAGCTCTGCCAAACGAAAAT